ATCCCTTAGTTCAGTACATCCATGCTGTATAGTCTGTGTACCCATTAGTCATCTGGTAACCTAGTCAGTTACCTGAGTGCTTGTATTCAAGTCACCCTCATTGCACTAGTAGTCCCAAGAATAAGATATCAATATTGGCCATATTTTTACAATATATTGTTATAATTGGTCAATTTTATTATTAGTTATAGTTGTTACTGTCTCACTGTGCCTAATCTACATGTTAAATCTTATCACTGGTACAGAGGAAAAAATATAGTATGTACAGGGCATGGGAATACCCACAGTTTCAGGCATCACTATGGGATCTCTGAAAGTACCTCACAGATAAGTGAAATTATTATATTAAATAGGTAGAACCAAGGACCTAACAATACAGGAGACAAAGCATGAACAGCTATTCAGAATTACTCTTAGCTTCTGATTTGGGGACTAGGAAGACAGAAGAAAGGCACTAACATGCCATACAGGGCAGACAGCAGGAACCTGTGGCATGGAAATGTGAGCAGCATCGAAAATAATTAATTGCATTTTTCTGTTTTACATTGTCTACTTGAGTTTATTCCTTTGGTGGCACACACCTTTAATCCCAGCACTCAGGGGGCAGAGGCAGGTGGATCTCTGTGAGTTCAAGGCCAGCCTGGTCTACATAGTACATACCCATCTTGAGAATGAAATTAATTGCATTTAATTACCAGGAAGCAACTGGTATAGCCAAGAACACTTATACTGAAGGGTCAGGGCAGATAGTTCCTATGCAAAGAACTATGGAAAGAGAGAGAACTAGGGACAGTGCCATAATGATCTGTGAACTGGGAAACCTAGGAGGAAAGTACTGGTAGAACAGAGGTTGTTAAGTATGGTAGTAAGAAAAATGGCCTCTCAAAGATGTTCACAACCTAATCCCTTGCCTTCCTAATCTCATTACTTTATATGAAAGGAATTTTGTGTATGTGATTAATGATTTTGAGGCAGGGAGCTTGCCTTGGGCTACCAAAGTAGACTCAATGTAGTCACAAGTGTCATATAAAAAGGATGTGGCATACTGATATAATTGGTTATGTTATTTATACTGAAGAAAGGGGAGGGACCATGAGCCAAGAAAGGATTGCAGGTTATCTCTTGAGGCTGGAAGAGGAAAAGGAAAGTACAATCTTCTGCTGTAGATTCCAGAAGGTATAATACCCTGCAGACCAGTTTTCAACCAACCTCTGACCTTCAAACTTGAAGATAATAAACTAGTATTGTTTCAAGTTACTACACTGATAGTAATGTGTTAGGGAAACCAATAAACTAAGTGCAGTTTGTTTAGGCCAGAAAGACATAAGAATATTCACTAAAAAGGAATACGCAAGAAGCTCTGAGTTGTGGTTTTCATAATAAAAGTAACACATTTTTTTAGACAGAAATATAAGCTTATTCCTAGATGCTACAAGTTTGCTGTGATCACTGGTATCTGATTTTTGTACTTTAGAACAGTCTGAATGCAGAATAACTAAAGCAAGAGAATGGACTATAGAGCACAAGCAGATGAATTAACCTTGGAAAGGAAAATGAATTTCTCTTGTACTAAAATAGGAAGAAAAGGCAAAAACATCCCAATAAAGACAAGTTATCAAAAGAGGCAGATTAATTATGTTCTGTACTTCTCTCTCAGAATCAGAGACATCATGTACTGAGTGACTGACTTCTCTACATCATTGTGATGGCTCATCTTCACTGTCACCTTGACTGGATTTGGAATCACCTAGGAGACACACCCTGGGAACGTTTATGAGGCTGTTCCAGAGGTTTACCTGAAGACAGAAGACCCACCCTGAATACTGATGGAACCATCCTATGGGCTGGCATCTCATACTGAATACAAAGGGGAAAAAGAGAAAAACAACTGAACTTCAGCATTCTCTGTTCTCTGTGTCCTGATCCACCTAGATGTAAATGAGTCCTAACTGAAAGCTCCTGCCACCATGAACTCAAATATGTCTTCCTTTCCAAGATGCACCTACTCTCTTTAAAAGTGAGCTAAGGGAGCTGGGTGTGGTGGCACACGCCTTTGATCCCAGCACTTGGAAGCCAGACGCAGGCAGATCTCTGTGAGTTTGAAGCCAGCCTGGTCTACATAGCAAGTTCCAGGCCAGCTGGGGTTACAGGGAGACTATGTCTCAAAAAGGCCAAAAGAAAAAATTAAAAATTAAATTAAATTTTTTAAAAAATGAGCTAAGGGGCTCGAGAGATGGCTCAGGAGTTAAGCATACTGGCTGTTCCTGCAAAGGACCCAGGTTTAGTACCCAGCATCCACATGACAGCTAACATCTGTAACTCCACTTCCAGAGAACCTACTGCTTTCTTCTGGCCCCTGCAGGCATTGCACAACACAGGTGCACTTACATATATGCAGGCAAAACATTCACCCACATAAAAATAAATAAACATTTAAAAAACTTTTTAATGGGCCAAAATAAATCCTCCTTCCCTTAAGTTGCTTCTGTCAGGAATTGGTTATAGCAATGAGAAAATGACTAATACATCCATATATCGAATACCTGCATACATTTATTTCCTCTCTCAAAATGCTGTAAGACAGAAATGATCAACAACTTCAACAGCAGAGGAAGACTCCAAGGATTCAGATTCCAATCTATTTAACTCAAGCACTATATTGAGAAACCCAGAAGATACCTATGTAATCAAAAGGTTAACCTTACTAGTAAAAAGGCACATTGGTACCTTATGTGCCTTGGTACTGTCAAGGACATATTATTGCCCCAGTACTGCCCCAAATGCAACACCTTAGTCAAACTATAAGAAATTAAAAAGGCAAATTGAGGTAGGTATTGTACAAACATCCACAACCTCAAAAACCCTGAGCAGTACTATTCAGTGTATCAATGTGAAATTCAAAGAGTCACAGGAACTGTTACAGACTGAGGAAAATTAAAGAAACATAGCAAATGTAGTGTGAACCCTAGATTGAATCTCACACAAAAACTAAAAAGAGGTGAGATATATTAGTGGAAACAGACTAAACTCAGAACACAATATACAGTTTAGTCAATAGTATTATACTATTTTTTTAGGTTTGATCGTGTTATGTCTCAAAATAAAAATTAAAACAAAAAATTTAGCATTGTACTATATTGCTTCTATTAGAGAAAGTCACTTGTCTGTTGGTGTACCTTTACAGTCAATTTGAGATTGATTTAGACAGCTTGAGAGCCTAGGTTCAGGTTCTGACTTGTACGGTAAGTACCTCTGAAAACTGGCTGGGTTCCTGTTCCTCACTAATGGCCCAGACTCCTGCTTTAATACTCTATCTCTGCCTCCTGCCTTGTGCATATCAAACAAATCTAATCTTTGATCTCTAAAATAATATATTCGGTACGGCGGAGGTGTAATTCAGTGCAGAGCACTTGCCTGGTATGTGCAAGGCCCTGGGTTCAATCCCTAGTATCACTACATTAAATAAATGAATAAATGAGGTCAATAAGAGAGCATCTAAGTGAAGAGAAAGGTACAGAACTATTTGCTTACTAAGGTAAGCAAAGTAATCGCTGCACATATTCTGAATATTAACAATCATTACCCATCTCCCATTTGCAAACACATCTTTTGAAAATATATCCATGAGTATCAATATTAAGTAGCATATTTAAACTTAAAAAAAT